AATAAATAACATCACTCTTCCCTACTTTACCTTTTCGTTAAATAGTTCTATTTTATTGTTTATTATTAATAGAATAAAATAGACCCCATGTTTATATATATATATATATATATATGTAGAATTATATATATATATATAAAAATTAAAAAAAACTAATTATCACCCTCTACACTTTTGTATTGTGATTATAATTATTAACCTCTGTAACTTTGTATTGCGTTTTGAATTATTTGTTTCTAATTTTATGTAAAAATTACACAAATTGGAAATATTATTAATCCACTCAAACAATTCTTTGAAACTGAATATTTTACCAACATTCTATAAACCAGTGAGGCAGCTTTGAGGGTTAAATTTATTGCTGTTATTTTATTAATTATTTTTTAAAGCTGCTAGTTTAATAGTTTGAATATTAAAATCAACGGCTTTTTATGCGACACTTACTAAATATTCTCTGCACTTTAAGTTGATGGTGCATTATAAAGTGACAGTCAATCCCTTAGCATGGGTGGTAGATTAGTGCTGGCTATTTGCATTTCTCCCTCTGGTCAGTATCTTAAAATTAGGGACGGCGGTAGGTAGTCTTATTAGCTTTGCCATAAATACAATACTTTTTATCTGTAGTTTATGCTAAATTATCACTCCTCTGTTATCTTCAATATTTTCGTTTTACTGTAGCTCATCAAACTATTATTACAAATACGATTATGCTTTCAATACAAGTATTTCTGTAATAACTTTTGTTAGGTGATTCATAACTGGTTATGTTCGTATAAAACTCGCAAACATTTCATAAAAACATGGTATTTAAGCCATTCAACATTTATATAGTTTATAAGTAACATACCCTTATTTGATAAGTAAAAGAAGTATTATTAAATCTATTGGAAATTCAAAACAAATAACTTTAAAACATTTTGAAAACATCTAAAGCAGCTGATGTAATTTATCTTTAACGTGGATTAGTCAAATTTACACAAACTCTGTCACAGTTTCCCAGTGTGTGTAGGGGGAGAGGGGGTACACCAATCGCTATATATGTGTTCATCATTAAGATTATATCCATATAACTCTAGACATGTATTGATTATTAAAAAGGTATTTCGCATTTACTGAACAACTGTATCATGTCAAACTGTTTGAAAAATTGTTGTCCGCATACACAACATTTTAAACAGCCTACGTTTCAATGTTATATGTATCAATCAAAACAGTAATATGAATTGCACGGCTAAAACTACTGATCCACTAAGCTTATACTTACTCGACTTTTCTTTGGTTTTATAATTTTGACTCTCTAGCTTGGTACAAAAAAATATTGCTTTATTCGAAAATATCGATTTCAGTTTACTCTTAATCTGGCGAATTTAGAAAAAAAAGACCTTTTCTTTTTGAATCTTATCATACATTAAAATTAACGCCGATTCTCTACAGTGGCTCAGCAGTCTGTGGATTTTTAACTCTAAAAATGGGGTTTCTATACCCGTGGTGAATACAGCACAGATAGCCCATTGTGTAGCTTAGCGTTTAATAATGAACGTACAACGAAAACAAACTCTAGATCCAATGACCTTCTGTTGAGTTGTAAACTTTTAACATGTATTGGTCAAGGTTCAGACACAGTCTCAAGTTCATGCTGTCGCTGAATAAAACATATACGATTTTTTTGGTTTACCTTAAAGAAGGCTATTTTAAATTGTTCTCTTGACTACACTGTTTTGTGTTAGTTTTTAGCTTGTGAAATTTCATTTTCTATGAATAAAGCAATTTAATTTTATCTCACAACTAACCTCCTCTCTTCTATTTACAATAAACGTTTTGACTTGGTGCTTATTCTGCTGGAAGGAGTCAGCTCTACGACGCTCAGAAATGAGTTCAATGTAGTCTCTTATTATAGCTGGAAAAACAGTTCAAATTAAAAGCAGCTTATTACAACAGATGTAATGAAAATTAACCAGTATCAACTTACACTGTCTTTGCCTTTTCTGCATGCTATTGCACAATATGCCAAATACACCTTTAAACTATCCAATAAGAGCTTTGTAAGCGCTACGTCATCTTCCATTTAAAATCAATAGAACTTTACACTGAACAAATGTATCCTTCACACAAGGCAAAAAAGTAAACACTGACATAACACACGTGTCCAATGAGATAGAATAAAATACTTTTTTCAGTAAGCACAAACATTCTTACTGTTTATCATCAGTTAAACAGCTGAATATATTATTATGTTATAAGAGTAAATTTCATAAAAATGTAGAAGAAAAAATGTATCCTTGTATGTAATAACAATCGTTGATTTTGTGCTCACTAGGTTATATTGTTCAAACTGAGAATGTTCGAGCATAGATCTGCATAGATCACAAGTACCAAATTCGTGTAATATTTCTGTGACATGCTCTAAGCATTTCTATGATTGTTTATTGATAGCCCATGGTTGCCTTTTTTTTTTTCTTACTACAATTTCGGTCTGAAACTGAGCTAAATAATAATTTAATTTTAATAGTTAAATCAATGCCGATGTGTATCCAATTCATGATGTTTGCCTACAAGATTGATACACACAGTTTTCTTTGTTTTATACAAATATGTTTTAATATACAAACAATAATACAATTTTATAACAATAATAACAGTTATTACAAACAGCTACTACAAACAATGACTTGTATACAAAAGTTCCACAAACTTACAAGCAATACAAAGTCTTCTTTTTAGTCCGGAACTTCCTTGATATCTTATCGAGGGTTCACGATGAGCGAGTTAATTTCGAGTTGACGGAGGTACACTTCATTTAACAGGTAGCTAGCTGTGGGCCTCGCTGATCACACGCCGATTATAGGTCGAGCTTGAGTTTTTTACCACTGAAGTTATATAATGTCTTCGTAAATGTACTAATGTCCGATGTGACTCCACTGAAGTTAAATGGTTTATAGTATTCGAAATTTATAAATGTTCCTGGTCAGATATCTGAAGTTTTCCGATTAATAAGCGTTAATCACAATTATAGCTTCCGAGGTTTATGGTATACCAATTATAGCAAACCAATAACACAGTTTTTTAGGCGCGTCGCGTTAGTTATATTTATAGGCGTGTGGAGAGTTTTCGAAAATTCAGATTACGTAACAATACCAAGCTATATTAGCGTTTACGTACACGCACATTGTTGATTCTTACACTAGAGAATCTTCTACAACTTTAGAGCATAGGCGGGAGTTTCGCAATACATATTTAACAGTATAAATTATGTACATTTCTAAATATAAATTTACTCTAAGCAAACATCGACATTAAAACAGATATATAATAATAAATCCATCTCACTTTCTACTTCTCTAGAAACTTGGAAAAAAGACTTCTGAATTGAGGACTTGTCATCAACTGTTTTGAAAGTATTTGTAAAAGAATTGTATTTTTAACTTTTCATTTTGTTTTTTTATCCAATAAGAGGAAATTAATGGCATGATATCAGAGTTTGTCACTACTCCTATATGCTTGAGTGTGTGTGGTCTAAATGTATTATAAAATATTGTGATTCAGTCTGTAACGTTCTAGACTTCAAGAGTAATCGCATTATAAACTTTTGTTCGATGTTAGGAATTCTACATTATCCAACAGCTCAAACTACGCATGTTTCAAATCAAGTGAACAAGCTGAAAGTAAAACTTTCCTAGAAGTTTATAATCTATGCATTTAGCTTCACACAACAGTATATGCGGTAAAGAAAATTTTACAGAACGGTATTCGTGGATTATACAAAGAAATGCAAAAATGTAACGAATTTCTCTTCCTATATATATATATATATATATATATATATATATATATATGTGTGTGTGTGTGTGTGTGTGTATATATATATATATATATATATATATATATATATGTGTGTGTGTGTGTGTGTGTGTGATACTTATTATTAATTAACTCTTAGTATTATTTACTTATATTAGTCGTACGTACGTAGACGTAGGT